TTTTCAGCCTTGTTGCAACCGCTCCCGACTAGGTACTCAGTACTCACCACCGGACTTACCCACTCTCAGAGATTCTACATCCGTTGCGCTCACAAAGGAACGCTCCAGTTGACGCTCCAGGTGAGGACACAACGACACAGTCAGGCCAATGCGTGCAATGATGGAGAAGATTTGGCAACCTGGAGGCATGGCATGTTCAGGGGCACTTGTTTACTTGTGGGTTGGATCGGTGATGACCCTAACCCTCACCCAACAAACGGCACGGATTCGGAAGTCTTTCCGTTTGTGTGCCTTTCTCCTTTCTTTCGTGTTTTCGAGTGGTCTTCATGTGTGTGAAGTACGTACTCCAGGAAGGAAGTTCCGGGCAAGATCCTGGAGAAACGACCCAAACCAATTGCCATGTCAGTGATCTGACAACCTCCTGGAGTCAAGTTGAACGGCAATCGGAGTTCGGTGAATCTGAAGACCGAACCTCGGTTCAGGATGCATTTTTAAGGTTCGGACGAGGGGACTCGGATTGGACGGGATCCAGCCAGAGATGACGGCTGTGCCCCACTCAGTCCCCAACGCAGTGTTCCAGGCACACTCGAAGTTTTGTGCTGCAGGCGTTGGGCCCTGCAGGCCTGCGTCAGCAAGTCGCCCCGATTCTGATAGCATCGCCGATAAGCCCTGTTTCCCAAGCCCGCGGCACCCGGTTCGCCAAAAGCAACCTGGAACCCGGCAAACCCCTGAGACCCTCTCCACCACGATCAAACCCGCTCGCCTCAACAGAAAAATGTCAGTATAAGAGCCGCCGGTCCATCCGGCGCGATGCCACTCCCGGGTGCAGACTCCAGCTCCTCGTCCATCTTTCTGGCCAAGTGTGGTAGCACGCTCTTTTGCGTTGGTCGCAGCGTCCTTCTCTGGCTCGTGGTTCTCGCCTTGTTCTTGCTGGGCGCGTTACGGAACCGTCTTTTTCCCACTGCGCGTCGCGCCCCGTCGGGCGATACGAAAATCTGATCGTCGATCGAATCACTACCCAAAAACGGAACCAAGATGGCGGTCGGCACGCTCGCCCTCTTCTACCCGGTGTTCCTGCCGATGGGCACAGCGGCAATCGCCTACGCCGGCCACCGGGCAATGTACCTCGACTGGCGCACGCTGCTCACCCAGTTCCTCACCGGGCCCGGCCGCACGAGTCGCATCCTGCTGCTGTTCTTCCTTGTGCTGAACTGGAAGAGCCTGCCTCTGGCATGGACTGTACGACCCCAAAATCTACTCCCGGGATTCATGGCGCATCATTCACTAACCACCCACCCCCCGCCTCAGGTCCGCATCTTCCACTCCTTCGTCTACCACATCCTGCGCCGCCCCAAGACGCTGCCGCAGCGCGCCCTCTTCCACTACAGCGTCACGTCGTCGCGCACCTCGCTCCTCGAGACCGACTACAACATCCACAAGAGCAACTCGACCTACTTTGCCGACCTCGACGTCAGCCGCTCCCACCTGGTGACCCACCTCATGGGGCCGGGCATGCCCATCATCGGCGACAACGCGACGCACAAGCGCGTGCTCGACAAGGAGGGCAACCTGGTCAAGGGCAGCTTCGGCATCGGCCTGGGCGCCGTCTTCTGCAGCTTCCGCAAGGAGATCGCGCCGCTGCAGGGGTACGAGATGTGGAGCCGCATACTGTCGTGGGACCGCAAGTGGCTGTACATTGTCACGCACTTTGTCGTCAAGGGCAAGGTGCGCCCGACGGGCTGGGACGGCAAGCGCATGGGCCCCACCCGGAACAAGGTGCAAAAGGCCGACGGCAGCGGCGAGCTCGTCGACTTTGGCAAGTACGTCATCGCCACGGCCATGAGCAAGTACGTCTTCAAGCTGGGGCGGTTCACGGTGCACCCCGCGCTGGTGGTCGAGGCGGCGGGGCTGCTGCCCGAGAGGCCTGGCGAGGGATGGATTGGCGGCGAGAGCGGGACGGGCACGCCGGAGGACCTCGGGGATCTGGACGAGGAGGGAGAGTGGGACTGGCGGAGGGTGGAGGCGGAGCGCAGGAAGGGGCTCGAGTATGCTGAGCACTTTGCCGCGTTGGATGGGACGAACTCGCTGTTTGACGGTGGCGAGGACGGTGCGATTGGGAGCTTCCCGCTGGGTTAAGGCCCTGTTCTTGGACCAATGGGGGGCAGGTATACAGGTACAGAGATACTTTCTGGGTAAATCTAGACTCGTTATTTATAGATGGCTCGAATGGAACGAGCTTTGTTCGTTAAGGTCTTGTTCTCAGGCCTCAACTCGCGGCAAGCAGGCGTGTGCTTATGCGATGCGAAACGATCTCCCGCGTTTCACATCACAGTTCTGCCCAGGGTGACCGGAACCGCTGAGAAGACGGCCGACTTTTTGAAGTTCTGGGCGACACTATGGTATGACCTGGGGCGTTCAGGTGAGAGATGCTTGACAATCTTGCAGTCCCCTCGCAGAACCCCGTCGTCTCGACCTTGAACTCATGGGCCTAAACTTCAGATCACCTGGTGCCCTCCTACGACCTTCGCGCAACTTTGATCTCTTAATGTTGTGAGTCGGATTGGGGTTGGGAAGTCACCTTTCTCAGCTGCGAACCTGGGAAGGGTGAGGCTGAAATAAGTTGATTTGTGATCCCCATCGCCCCAACCTCGGCATCCGGGATTCGCGCCGGCGGCAGTGGGACGGCGCGAGATTGCGGACTCGGCATTGGAGTTCCACTTTTATTCCCGGGAGCTTGGCTCAAGCTTGGGCATCCGCCCCGGACCCTGCCAGGGGGTGGAACACTTCACATGCTCGCACGAATCGTTGAGAAATTTCACACTCAATTCACACTTACAGCACCTTGCACTTTCATATAATACACACACACATACACACACACATACACACACACACATACACACACACACACACACGGACACGGAATCAACAAGTCAAAGTGTGCAAACCATGGCCTCAACACCCCAACTCCTCTCCAAGGCCGGCAAGATGGCCCTCCAACACGCCAACGCCCAGGCCGCCGCCGCCCAGATCGCCTACTTCCGCGCCATCCCCTGGTGTGCCGCCCACCTGGCCAACCCCAACCTCGTCATCGACCAGTCCGTCTCGCGCCGCCTCTCGCTCACCCCGCGCGACACCCTCCTCTCGCGCGCCCTCAACACTATCGACGCTATCCCCGCCTACATCACCTTCTTCACGCCCCTCCCACCATCACCATCGCCGTCGCCATCACCAGCAGACTCCCACTCTGGCCCGGCGCTCATCAAAGAAGTCAAGTCCTTCATCGCCCTGGGGCCCATGCTCAACGGGTGGGAGGGCATCTGCCACGGCGGCATGGTCGTGACCATGCTGGACGAGGTCATGGGCCAGGTGTTCACCGCCAACAAGACCCAGGGCCTGATGGTCAACATCCCCGTCATGACGGGCTACCTCAACACGCGCTTCGAGAAGCCCGTGCGCACGGGGAGCGCGGAGCAGGCGAGCGTGGTGCTGGTCACGGGGAGGATGGTCCGCCACGAGGGGAGGAAGTACTGGATGGAGGGGGACGTGCGGGGGGAGGACGGGGTGGTGCTGGCGAGGGCCGAGGCGATGTTTGTCATGTTGAAGGCGAAGTTTTGACGGGCATTCTGGATGAGGGGGGCAGTTTAAATGGTGGAGAGGTTGAAGGAAAGAAGGATCGATTGAGTTTGGCGTATGAGGATAGGACGGGTTGCATTAGACTGGCGTTTTGTCGGGCTTCACTAGAACTATAGGTGTACCATACAGCATAATGTAGTGAGAAGGATGTCTTGGGGCTCACAGTAATCACTGAAAATGCCGACGGCTGCCCAGCCGGAACCTGCCCGCCGAGTGCCACGGTATCTGCCTCGCGAATGGAACCTCGCTTTCATGCACCCCAGACCCAAGGTATGAATGAAACAAAAGGCCCACGGCAATCCGGGGAAATAGCCTAAACCGTCACATCTGCCCTGAATTTCCACGAATCCAGGTTTCCGTGTTATTAAGACCACCTTGTGATAATGCCGCGGCGGTGCCATTAATTCCGCAGTAACGGGGTAAAAGTCCAAGGTATAAAAGATGGCCGAGTCAATGAATTCCTCAAGGTGAAGATCGCTGCATCACCACACCACATCTTTCCCTCCACCAACCTCCACCATGCGCGTCTACCTCCTCACCCTCCTCTGGGTCTTCACGACCCTTACCTCGGCCACGGTCACCTGGCGCCTCACCAAAGCCGCCAACCCAACGACCGACCAGGCCGACGCCTACTCGCGCATCGAATCGGCCATGAACAAGGCCGTGACGCGCTACAACCGCCTGACCCCGCGCGCCAACAAGTCCATCACGGTGCAGTACGTGCCCGGCGTGCAGACGGCCGACGGCAGCTTCAGCGGCAACATCCGCTTCGGCTCGAACCGCTCGTACATGAACGAGCGCACCGCGCTGCACGAGATCTCGCACACGCTGGGCATCGGCCAGACCAAGGCGTTCGACACGCGGTGCGCGGCCAACAACTGGCCGAGCGCGACGGCGCTGCTCAGGTCGTGGGACGGCAGCGCGGCCAAGATCAACTGCGGCGGCGGGCACATCTGGCCGTACGGGTTGAATTACGACAATGAGATGAGCGAGACGAACGCCGAGAGGCATTGCAGGCTGATTGATGCCATGTTGGCGGATGGGTTGGCGGCTTGAGGAGCCCAGTCAGGGGCGGTCAGGGGGTGGTCAGTTGACGAGTTTTGGCGCCGGCGGTTGATGGTGTGTTGGGGCGTAAAACAAGTACGCATGATAATAAAGATCTTATCAACCCATATCTTTGATTCCACCTTCACATAAGTTAACCGGCAACCAATTTAGATCTTACTCAGGGGAATGTAAAGTACATAGTGTTGCAGCCAAGACATGAGTGGACTACCTAGGTAGGTACCGACTGGAATATAGGTACCTTATCCTCTCCTCCTGACCCACCACAGCATCATTACAGGGTCCGCCAAAAATGAGAATGGACAATACCGGATTCGAACCGGTGACCTTTCGAAGGAAGCAACAATGCGGATCGAAAATCATACCCCTAGACCAATTGCCCAGCGTCTGGTGAAGGCAGAGTGGCGCCGGCGGCTTCAGGAATCTGGGCGGGGGTTGACGGCGTGAACCGAGGCGGTGGAGATGGTTTCTGCTAAGATCCGCAGCTTCAGCCGCTGGTGACCGGTCACCCACGGCCTCCGACATGAGGGAACCCCTGGACGTCGGTGCCGCCGTGGTTGCCCTGGCTCATGGACCACGTGTTGGTGAGATGGCCCAGAGTGACTGGGGCCATTGGGACGGACCGGGCAAGGTATTGAAGCGCGCGGGACTTGACAACGTTGTCTTGGTTGCTGTAACGCGGCGACCACTCCTACTGAAACCCTAGTATTATGCGGTAGAAATGGCCGTGACTGACACGCTTATATAGCCGACTCTCTGATCATATAAGGCAGTTAACCTGCGTTACACAGAAGATGCTAAACCTGGGCAACTCGTTTCAATCGCAGTCGCGGCAACGGCCATCGTCCCGACAACATGGCTCAAGATAAGGTATGATCATCATGACCTATCGACATCCCAAACATAGACTCAATCCTCCAACTCTCCATCGATCGGAGCGTAAAAGTTGAACCTCCCTTTGGGATCATACTTCTTCTTCAACGCCTTCAGCTTTTGCAACCTCCACGGCTCGTAGCCATAGATTTCTGGCAGTGGCTCGTCCCCAAAGACTGTGTTTACGTATGCCCTGCGCTGGCTTGATCCACTCCCCTCAATCAGAGTTTCGCTGATTTCCTTACTGGCGGCAATGACGTCGTCAGTGTATGATGGGTCCATGTATGCCCAAAGAGGAGATCTGGGACTCGGTTAGTCATGTCACATCCCACAAAATAAACCGAGCGAGACACACGCAAGAATAGGATACTCCCTAAACGGCGTAGCGGTACTATCAGCCGGAACCTGCGTCACGGCCTGCAACGAGTACCCCTCTAGCGCAAAGACGGACATGTTCGCCATCGCAGGATACTTGGTCGTGACACTGTCGAAAATAGTGTGTACTCTACGCAACGCCGTTGGGTTGTGGCTATTCAGATAGTTGGGCCAGAGATGCCTGTTCCAGCCCTTGGCGCAGATTGCTACACTGGACTCATTATTGCGCAGGAAATCGAAGACGTCGGGATAAGCGGCCCGAATGAGTTGTTGCTCTGCTGCGGGTTTGAGGGCGCGGAAGGGAGCGGCGAACTTGTCGAGCCCTTCTGGGCCGCCTCCGTAGATCAATGTCACGACGATGACAGCCTGCACCGAGGTCTAAGTCATGAGTTTCTCGGAAAAGCAGGTCAAACTCACACTGTTGGGATCAAGATCCGGTCGTCGCACAAAGGTATGCCAAAAGATGAGCTCGGCAGGATGATCCTTTTCTTCGAGGTAGTTGTTGGTCAGTGTGAAGACTCCCTCGAGCTTGTCTTGGGTGAAAAACATGGTGAAGACTGTCCATTCTGGGATGCGGTCGTATATCTTGTACTTGAGGCCCGTGACAATGCCAAAGTTGTGTCCTGCTCCTCGAAGTGCCCAGAACAGATCTGGGTTGGTCTGTTGCGATGCAATGACGGACTCGCCATCTGCCAGAACCACGCGAGCCTCTTGGATCTGGTCGGCGAGGAGACCATAAAGGCCTTGTAAGTAGCCATGCCCTCCCCCAAGCATTATGCCCATGATGCCGCTGCACAAACAATTGCCGGTGACTGTCGGTGTGTGTGTCAGTCAGGAGCGTGCGCGGTAAGATGGATATTGGGCGGCTGCTCACCTGCCTGCTTGCCTCGGGGCCAGAGATATCGGACGAGCTCACCGTTGGTGAGCCCGGGCTGTAACTCGGCTGAATCACCCTCGGGGTTGATCTCGATGCCTTTCATCTGAATGAAGGAAATGGCAATGCCCCCTTGCATCCTGCCGAGCGTCTTGAGAAAGCCGTGCGCTCCACCGACAGCGAGAAAGGGAAGACTGTGTTTGTTCGCCCAACGAACCGTTTTCGCGACATCATCCTCAACAGCAACCTCAACCACGGCTGCGTAGGTGGGCTTCGCCTCCGAGTAACCTTGCCATCTCTGGTGAACTGTCTGAAACCGGGGATTGTCTGGCAGAATGATGGACGCGCCAGGTGAGAGTTGGGACGCGAGTTGAGAGAAGATGTCCCAGCTGCTGCCATCCAAGTATCCGAAGCTGGCTCGCAGGGTCAAGCCATCCGAAGCCAAGGCGGCTACCGAGGTGACGACAGAAAGGAAAAGATATGCGACCTTCATGATAATGTGACGCGGCAGAAGATACACGCCAACGCTCTTTGCGAATTCAGTCCTAAAATACGCTGCTAGGCAGGCATGAGGCCTAAATACGCTTGCGGCCTACTTCAAGCCTCATCATCACCAGAGTGTCACCACTGCCTAAATTGTAATGGAATCGGCATCGACGAAACGAGTTGTGCCATCATACTTCATCATGAGGCGGTAAATCTCGGGGAACCAGCGTTCCACTTCCTCGTAAAGGCGCCATCAACCTCAGCTAGCTAGTCAATAAGGGGCTCGTGTTGTATGGGCAGCGAGCCGGTCCTGGATGATACGAGCCGAACAAGCCCCAGGTGCTGGAATTGGGGCTTAGGCGCCCTCACGGAATTGTCAGGACCGTAACCGCGACATCAGACCGAGCCTTATGTCTTCCTCAAATTCAGATGACGCGAAGACCCGTCAGCGCAAGTGGCAGGGACTTTCTTGGATCGCAATCGCCAAGCATTTCCCGGGGCGTGGTACCGGGGCCTCAGCACTCCGCGCCGGAATGGTGGAGGAGGAGGGAAGCCAAGCGCTCTGACGCCGTTTAGCGAGGAGTTCAAGGTGTTTGATTTCTGGGACGTTGATGACCGTCACGGGACGGCGGGGCTGTTGGATATTGGTCAGGTTGGGGCGTGCTGTCGGTTACGACGCAATGTATTTGTATGAAGCCCGGGGGGAGAAATCGGGACTTTTCCGGGGCCGATGGTGAGGTATATGAATTCATTGATGCAGAAGCGCGAGCGTTGTTTCGGAGAGATTCTGGGTGGAGGTTGGGAGAGGGGAGGTGTGCCGCCGCGGCTGTTGCAGACGGAGGCGTAGGTGAGGGCTGCGGAGAGAGATTATCTGATGGCGATGAAGCAAGGCTTTGGGTCTGGTGCACTCGGCCGGAAACACCTGGGTGAAGGGAAGTTTGGTGATATCGATGAGGAGTGATTGATGGACAGGGGAGTGAGCTATTCTGGCGGGAGTAAAGGCAGAGGTAGTCGGCAAGTTCCAGGCCCCGGCGGAACAAAACCATGACGTTGATGCGATATCACGCGTGATGATTGTAAAAGGGGGGTAAAGCTGAAGGCTGAAAATGCCTGCAACGATTCAAGAATCCCATTCCACTAGGTCTTTGGGCGGCCCCATAGAGCACCAGAGCAAAGATGAGTCATCAACCTAGATACACAGCAACGTGCAATCCGCCCTGGAAAGGGGTGGTAATGCTCTTGAACCCGTTTTTCGGATCGCCCAGGTAGGAGGTGAGATCACGGTATCCCTCGCGGCTGGCCGAATAGTTGTCCACCACGACCATGGCGCCCACTCGCAGGCGCGGCTTCACCACCAGCAGTGTAGGCAGGGCAAGGACGGACCAGACTAAGACAGGAAGAGGAGAGTGTGAGTAAAAAGGGTTCTGCCAGAGTTGATGTGAGGAGAAAGTGTTGGTTGAGCGTACTGTCAAGGAGCAGGAAGTCGATGGTCTCGGGCATATCGACCTTGAGCGTCTCCCGCAAATCACCCTCCCTCAGCTCGATCCAGTCCTGAATCGGATCGCCTGCGGCGGACCAGTGCTCCCTCGCCCTCTTCGCCTTGGTCGGTTCGTTCTCTGTCGCGATCACCTTGCCCTGGGTCGTGTTCTGGACCGAAGCATTCTGGCTGACGGCAAGAGCGAGGTAGATGGTGGACACGCCAAAGGATGTGCCGGCCTCGACCACGAACCGGGCGCCGTTGGCTCGCAGGAGCAGGTAGACCAGAGCACACTTGTCGGGCTCGAGGGCGACGAACCTGTCCAAAGCAGCTGACTGCGGCTGCGAGTCGACGCTGAGGTAAGGTGACTCGGTCAGGGCCTGCGTGTGCAGGTCGCGAAGGAGCTCGATGGTGCGCGGTGCGGCTCGTATCGAGCGCAGCGTGTCGCCGAGATTGTCGAGATGTGCGGCCATTTTGTGGCGTGTGAGGGGGCGCCTGGGGCAAAACAAGCTGGTTCGCAATTGGTGGTTTACCTTGAACAGGTGACGTTCAGTGAGAAATGAGGTTGTTTGTGCTGAAGGGTGGAGGCGACTCCGTCTGGGCATCGATGAATGGAGTTTGGGTTCTTTATAAAACATGACGCGGATCTGACTCAGGATGGAATGGCCCCCCGGGTTGGCCGGTACCTCCGAGCCGAGTCGGCGTCTCCTAAGTCCTTGGGGGATCCGGCATCTTAAATTCTGAGCGGGGCTAAAACAACCGCGGATTGTGTCGGCCGGCGTCTTGGCCGAGTCGAGTCGGCGACTTGGGAGCGGGACCGGCAGTCCACGGTCCGGCATCTTACTGGGGCCCGCAAGACAACGGAGAGACAGATGAGTCATTGGGGGCTTTTTCTCCTATTTTTTTTCTCCCCAGGGCTGGACCATCTCGTCGGTCAAGGCCAAGTTATTATCGACAGCGTCGAGTTTGAGTCTCGAGACTTTTCCACTTTCGGGTCCCACTCGTTTCTCCAGACATGGCCATGTGGGTTTGCTACGCCCCCAAGGCATGCATAAATACCGAACTTGTGGCATTATTTCTTTCGGATTCTCAGCAGCCCAACTTCCTCTGCCTTCGCTGTCCATTTAGTAACGGAAAGCCACCATGGGATGTATGATGTCGTGTCTGCAGCCGCGTCCCCCGGTGGCCGATGAGCCTCCAGTTTCGAGTCTTCCGACCGCGCACTCGCCTGAGACTCAGCAGGCGGGTTGTCCCAAAGGTCACATAAGGTAGGTCCGCAGGGAGGAGCGCAGACTCG